TTTTTGAATAGGCTTATTATTAAACTCTTTCAAACGTTCAAGTAATGTCAGTATAAATTAGAGCACATTCCAGCATTTGTAATTAAGACTTAGATATTGTTTTTGTTTTTTTGTTTTTTTTTTCTCTTTTTTGTTCTTTTGTTTCTTTTTTATATAGAAGAAGCAGAAGAAGAAGAAGAAGAAGAAGAAGAAGAAGAAGAAGAAGAAGAAGAAGAAGAAGAAGAAGAAGAAGAAGAAGAAGAAGAAGAAGAAATAGAAGCGCAAAAACAGTAACAGCAACGGCATCAGCACGGTGTTTAGCAGGTCCTGTTTCTGCAGTACTTATCTTGTATGTACTATCACACTTTATAGTATTCATCTTTTAAGACTGTGTGGCTTTTGGTGCCAGACTAGTATTAAAAGTAATCAAATGTGATTCATGTTTATGCAAGACAGAACACGCGTTTTATTGTACGCAGTCTGCTAACGCTGTATTTCCATAACGCTGGACTCTTAAATTCAGTCTTCAGAACAGGCCACTATTACTTTCCTGTTCTAATTTAGTCTTCAGAAAAGGCCACCATTACTTTCCCGCTCTATTATGTTTGTCTCACGTTACGCTGCAATAAACCTAGTACATAACAGTTTGCGTCAATGGCTTCAGATTACTGTACAGTGAACTTTAGTTTGGCTAAATAATGTTATATGGTTATGGTTATTGTTACTGTAATTATGGATTTTTTCCCTAACGATTTTTGTTTCGTCGTGTCATGCTTACTGTTGTAATCGAAAATAATACTGTTTGTTGAATCTTCGTAGACACTGAAAACCCTAAGAAATTAGTTTCACATGTTTTGATCTTCTACTTATTCTTTTTTTTGTTTTTTTTTTTTGTTCACCGGCTGTAAATTCCAGCAGGGTGTTCGGCCACTTCCGGACTTTAAGTCTTGTTCGAGAATCTGAGAATTGCGAGTGCGCACCCGTTTCACACGTCTGGCTCACTTGTGTGCAGACTCTTTTTTTTTTTTTTCTTTCTTCTCAGGCAGATGTTCTCCAATTTTGAAGGATGCCCCCAATTAGTCGACTTCTACGACATGGTTGTTGGGAAAGTAGTGGCTCTATTCTTGCTTGCCCCCCCCCCCCTCGCCTTCCCCACGGACCCACACGGGGACTGGTATTGATCAATACTCATGGACAGATGCAGGGAAAATGATATTAGTAGACACACTGGTGAACACACAGTTTTAAAGCTGCAGTGTGTTGTCAGTAAACAACCATGGGTATTGACAACAAAGGGAGAAGACTAATCACGGTACTGAAAACAAAGGGAGAAGACTAATCAGGGTATTGACAACAAAGGGGAAAAAACTAATCAGGGTATTAACAACAAAGGGAAAAAACTAATCAGGGTATTAACAACAAAGGGAAAAAAACTAATCAGGGTATTAACAACAAAGGGTAAAAACTAATCAGGGTATTAACAACAAAGGAAAAAACTAATCAGGGTATTTACAACAAAGGGAGAAGACTAATCAGGGTATTGACAACAAAGGATGAAGACTAATCAGGGTATTGACAACAAAGGGAAAAAACTAATCAGGGTATTGACAACAAAGGGAAAAAACTAATCAGGGTATTGACAACAAAGGGAAAAAACTAATTAGGGTATTAACAACAAAGGGAAAAAACTAATCAGGGTATTGACAACAAAGTGAAAAAACTAATCAGGGTATTAACAACAAAGGAGAAGACTAATCAGGGTATTGACAACAAAGGAGAAGACTAATCAGGGTATTGACAACAAAGGGAAACGACTAATCAAAATAGCCGATGTGAGGTGCGTATGACGAAATCCTAATGTCGCAGCAAGAGACAGGATCAGAAATACTTATATCAGAAAGCAAGCTGTTGTTGTGGAAGCAGTTCTAAACGACTTCAAAAGACAACAGATCAGATGGTTCGGACATGTGTCAGATAACCACAAAATAGTGCACCACAGAGAACGCTATCACTTAGACACAAAGGAAGCAGAGCTAGACCACACCTACGCTAGCGATGAATAGATAGAATATCAGAGACTTTGAATACCATCATTGGGATAGGACGCGCCATGCCAGAAGTTGGAACTCGAAGAGTGAGAAAGATAACTTTACCATAGGAAAAATGTCATATTACTTGATACGATGCAAAGATCTATCAATGAACACTAGCAATAAAAGCATTATTCATGACGTGATAATTTGTCGGCTTTGAAAGCTTCATTTATTATTCTGATGGCCTTATATCTGCACACTCTGTTTAATGTGATAATATCATCTGAAATTAATCATTCATATTTCTGCCAGTGTGAATTCATATGCATTCTCTGCAGTACACGTTTTGCTTTGGCAACCTTTTCGGTCTTATTTAACCTTCACTATCAATGAGATTCCTGACTTCGGTATTGTTTGCGTAATCTCAGGAATGTTTGTGTAATGTCAGTATTGTTTATAAAATGTCATGATTGTGTTCCCACTTGTATGCTTAGAGCGACACATGAAAGTTTCGGGGAGGTTGGGGGAGGGGAGGGTGGTTGGAGTCTGGAAAAATTATAATCTGACAGGAAGCAGTTTCATTCTGAAAGAGAGAGAGATAAATGAACGTGTTGACTGGCTGGCTGGCAAGGTAACGGTTAGCACAGGAAAAGCAGTGGACTGGGCCGCTTATCTTAAGGAAGCACAACGAAAAGGTTATAAAGGAGGTGACAGCAGATAGGTAACATTGTCAACACTACAAGAGCTTTATATAAATTCTTATTGATAACAGGAATTGGTACTCTGAAAATGAGTGCTTAGAAAGGCCGACTGTCAGACTGGCCTGCGTGCCAAATGTGTAACCCTTTGAAAATGAAGTTTGTTCGTTCGTTCGTTTGTTCATGTGCTGCCATACATACACACTAAAAAAGCCAAAAGTAACGGTCCCTTTACACGCCAATGACGCATAGAGCGTACTAGGATATGATTTGAACTTTTATGGACCAGTCGGCTACGCCTCTATGGGTGATGTGGTCAACATGATGCCGGTTGCCTTTACTTCTTCTTCTTTTTTTCCTCCTCTTCTTCTTCTTCTTATTCTTCTTATTCTTTTTCTTTTTCTTCTTCTACTACTACTACTACTACTACTACTACTACTACTACTACTACTACTACTACTACTACTACTACTACTACTACTACTACTACTACTACTACTACTACTACTACTACTACTACTACTACTACAACGTATTCTTCTTCTTCTTCTTCTTCCTCTTCTTCTACTACTACTACTTCTTCTTTACTACTACTACTACTACTACTACTAGTACTACTACTACTACTACTACTACTACTACTACTACTACTACTTCTTCTTCTACTACTACTACTACTACTACTACTACTACTACTACTACTACTACTACTACTACTACTACTACTACTACTACTACTACTACTTCTTCTTCTTCTTCTTTTTCTTCTTCTACAACTACTACTACTACTGCTACTACTACTACTACTACTACTACTACTACTACTACTACTACTACTACTACTACTACTACTACTACTACTACTACTACTACTACTACTACTACTACTACTACTACTACTACTACTTCTTCTTCTTCTTCTACAACTACTACCACTACTATTACTACTACTATTACTACTACTATTACTACTACTATTACTACTACTACTTCTTCTTCTTCTTCTTCTTCTTCTTCTTCTTCTTCTTTTTATTCTTCTTCTTCTTCTTCTTCTTCTTCTTCTTCTACTACTACTACTACTACTACTACTACTACTACTACTACTACTACTACTACTACTACTACTACTACTACTACTACTACTACTACTACTACTACTACTACTACTACTACTACTACTACTACTACTTCTCTTCTTTTTCTTCTTCTCTTTCTTCTTCTTCTTCTTCTTCTTCTTCTTCTTCTTCTTCTTCTTCTTCTTCTTCTTCTTCTCCTCCTTTTTCTTTGTCTTCTACTACTTCTTCTGCGTTCGCTCTTAAAAGGGCAATTTTCATGCTCTGTTTTAGTTTACAGCTTATCTTTGACATCTTCGCCTTTCGGCCAAACATATCCGACTTCAGCAAACCCCTGATTAGTGACATTTGTGGACATGCTTGTTGGGGTAGAGGGTCTGTTCTGGATTGTAGTCTTCTTCCAGAACCTGCATATGTTTTACAGATCTCACTTATTTCTATGCAGACTGTTGGTTCCTTGTCTCTCAGGCAGATACACTCTGACTTCGAAGGAAGCTCCCAATTAGTCGACTCCTACAACCTGCTTTTGGGTAGGCATTGGGTCTGTTATTGTTTTCCCAAAGTAGGGCAGTAGAATATACGCTAATATTCAACCTATTTTGTGAATTAAATGTGGGTTGTGGAAAATGTGGGTTGTGGGAAATGTGGGTTGTGGTAAATGTGGGATGTGAAAAATGTGGGTTGTGGAAAATGTAGAACAATTTGAGGGGCCTCTCACATCAAACACCGGACCGATCTGATGTGAAAATAGGAAGTCTTTTCAAAATTTTTTTTTTCTTTGGATCACGACCCCATAAACAGCTATATTCAACCCACATTTTCTCTCCACAGGCCAACCCACATTTCCCGCCTCAGATTGGTCCACATTTCAAACAACCCACAATTCCAACAACCCACATATCCCACAACCCACATTTCCCGCAACCCACATTTTCCACAACCCATATTCAGTCCACAAAAAGGTCAATTATTAGCGTGTGAAACTACTTAGGGCCAAGTGTCAGTGACCTATTTCACTCGGTAATAAAAGTCTGTTAGCTGGCCTACCTAGCGAGCCATATTCAATATTACAGAGTGAAGTAGGTCCCTGACACCATGGAACCCACACGGGGATTTAAGGAGTACAATGAATTAAGTCGCTTATCATGTTTTGCGTTTATCCAGAGAAATTAAATGCATAATTGTTTACCATGTCTAGATATGTTTCTGTTGCACAGATTCTGCTTGTGTTCGGCAAAGAAGATGGACAGTCGGATGGCTTTTGGTGGGCTGCAGAAAAGTTGGGCTACAGCTGCAGCATTGCTAGGACGCCGGAGACTGCTCTAGAAGCCTACCTAAACAACCATCATGATGTAGTTATCATCGATGCTCGCAATAACAGCAGTAACTGTTTTGATGCTGAAGCGCTGTGCAGGTATTTCTTGATATTCTCTTTGTATTTATCAGTTCGGGTTCAATATTAGTAACGGCTTTGTAAATGTTGATGGTTAAATTCGAGATAATCTACCTCACTTAACATGTTTTAGGTCTCTCTCTCTCTCTCTCCCTCTCTCTCTCTCTCTCTCTCTCTCTCTCTCTCTCTCTCTCTCTCTCTCTCTCTTTTCCACAGAACGGCTATCCGCCTGTCGAGATCATAGCACAAAGCACGAACAGTGTAGCTCCTATGACGATCCCTGTGGTCTGCCTAAAAATAGGCCTTGTGAGCCGGGAAACAAACCCACAATCTTGAGAGTGCGAGGCAAATAGCTTGATCACTTCGCCACGTCTACACTTAAAAAAAAAACAACAGTTGAACGAGCGACTGGTTCAAACGCTTGGCTTTTGTTCGGAAGATCCTTGTTAGATTCCTCGGTAAAGTAACGAAACAATGTTTGTGCCAAGGCCACACATAAAATTCCAAATTTCTGCATATTGACGACTGTACTAGCCAGGCCAGGCTAAATACTCAAAAGGGGTGCCGGTACCTAAGGGGTCAGTCACTTAAATGTCCCACCACCAGCACCAGCATGCTAGGGAATCCGTCCCCCAATAGATTTTTGGGTGTTCAGACTCCCTGGAACATTTTCAAATGAGAAGCCCCATGTCCATTATAAACGTTAAATTTATAAGCGTGTGTTTAAACACTTCATATTATTTCAAATATAACATTATATTTATTTATCATCGTGACAAAATAATAATTATTATTATTACTGTTATTATTTGGAATCGCCACAATCCAGATTAGAAGTGGATCGACTAAGTACAGTCAAGTATTATTTGAGAAGGACTATCAATACACGAACAAGACGCCATCTAGAAAATAAAGAGAGAAGTAAATGGCCCCGAGTCCACTCTTCCATTCCGTTCTGTCTTGTTCAGTTATGTCGATCTGGTTTATGGAATCCTGGCCGGCAAACTCTGGTCTCCCTCATCAACATTTAAAAAGGGTCTCTAGTGTATGTACTTCTTCTTTCAAACAATTTGTTTCCCGTTTACGTACACGTTCTGTGGGTTCCTTTTTTTCTGCTCAGCCTGAAATCGTGCTCCATCTGTGTTTCTTCTTTACCAGTATATACCAACAGTTATTGAGAAATTTCTGTTATTCTTTCGCTCTTCTTAAATTCATCCTATTCTTCGCTTGTACCTTCATAGTGATATTGTTTGACTATGTGTACTTTTATTTTATTTCTTTTTTTAACAATGTTAAACAAAGATAAAACAATGAACACGGTTTCAGACAATAGGTGATTTACTTTAGCAATTTTCTGTAACTTTATCCAGTGCCACATATCCTCTTTACACAGAATCTGGAAATTTCATCGACTTTTTCTTTTCGACTAATCGTCCGGTTATCCGTGAATTTCCGTGTCCTGATCCCTATTATTACCCTCAGTCTCTGATGTCAGTCGTCTAAGGATTTCCACTTTTCTGTCCCAGGCTGTGTTAATCAAAGGGTTTATGATTTCCCTGCCATCCGTTCACCGGCTGTAGATTGTGACCTTATTCAGCACATTACTATTCTCCAGTGACTGGTAATGAATGGTTGTCTCCTATTGTAGCAGTTTCCCAAAGAAAGAAGAATGAAGCCATGAATGAAGAATAATATGTTAAATAACAGTACAATGTGCACTGTTATGTCAGACGTTTTAACATCTACCGTGTGTTGTAATGCACTAGTGCAGTAGAGAAGCGGCTGGTCGATCGGTTAACAATGCATAGCTCTCATACGATAGACCCGGGTTCGAATCCTCGATAAGGTTAGATATTTATTTCTCTCGGAGGCAGCAATACAATCCTAACCGGGGTGCTGGTAATGCGGCACTAAATCCTAGGATTTTTTTTTTCCTGCTTACACGGTAGAAGTGGTAAATACAAGTGGTATTAACAGTTGCAGTTTTAATACTGCAGTAGGAGGAGAGGTTAGTCGAGCGTTTAAGAACGCTGGCTCTCAAAGAGTCAGGTTTTTATGCTCGAAAGCGCGCCGAATATTTTCTGTGAGGGCCAAGCCATGGCCAAACTTTAGTACACAGGCCTAGCTACTGACGTCATCAGCGGGACGTGATGTCACCGCCGCTGGCTAACGTTATGTTACTTTTTCACTCAGACAGTACCTGTTTTTATTTTTTTTTTTGTTCCCGGCCGTCCCCTGAGTACTAGCCCACAAAAAGTATAGCAGTAAGCTCATGGCTATTCAACAGTCAGCCCGCGGACCAAATTTGGCTCGCTGAGGCCTAGCGAGTGGCCCGTGGATCACTGCTGGTTGCAATGAAATAATGGTTTTTCTAAGCTGGGACTCGGACTGCTGGCCCATAACGATCCCTAATTTCACAATATTGGCATCTGAGTAAACTTTAATTGACTTAGTTGAACAGCCCTGGATATAGGTATTGACAATAAGACATAGAAACGAAGCAGAACAGAAACTACTTACATATTCACAAAAAGACATAGAAACAGAAAGCACAACAGAAACTACTCACATATTCACAATATGACATAGAAACAGAAAGCACAACAGAAACTACTCACATATTCACAATATGACATAGAAACTAAAAGCACAACAGAAACTACTTACCATTTAGCTGTCCAAATTGTAGTTACATAATCCATGAAATCCATTACTGGGTGAATTTGGCCAGTTTTCTTTTCTTAGATGATTTATCTAGCAAGGATGCGTCGATTTTTATTTTTCTGTAGTTATTCATAAAAACATTCGCCAGAGATGGCAGCGCTTTGGAGCAATTTTTATTTTAGAACAACCCTCAGCACAGACACCACCTATTTCATCCTTGAAATATGTGTGTAAACTGCATGAAACAATATGCATAAGCAATTTTTTGTGATGTTTGCAGGCTAGAAATTGTGTTTCCAACTCAGTTGATATAAGCTTCTGCATAGCTGCATATGTTACAAAGTTTAATAATATTAAAAATTTTGAAGGGTATTTCAAACCTCCACGGTCAAGCAGCTGTATATAGTCTGTGAATATTGCACCCGAATCAACATCATATGATAATGACCTGTCCATCTGCAATAAAGTCTTGCAGGCAGCACACCGAATTTTTTTGTTCAGCTTACTTGAGACAAATCCAGCAATATACACCAGTGACTCCTCTGAACCTTCCGAAACCAATAATTCAGTAATTTTGGTTTATTTGAAAAAAAACCTTGTTCACGTCCAGCTGAACAGCATCAGTCATTATGTCATCCCCATTTTCATCTTCTTTGCTGCTAAGAAACTCTGAGAGGTCACGGATAGGAAAATCTCCATAAGTCGATGAAGACATACTTAACAGTGAGTAAACTTTAAGTTTCTTTTCTGCTTCTAAAACTTGCTGCCCAGATACTAGGTAGTTTGCTCCTGACAACTGCCGATATTCACCAAACCGAGCTTCTAAGTTGTCAGTGTAACTTTCCAAGAAGTATAAAACTGGCTTCTGTGGTTGCAAATAGATATTTGATTAGAGAAAGCACTGCGGTCACTGTATGCAGCAGTGCACTGTGTGTTTCCTTGGTCAGTTTGCCTTGACAGCCAGTCAGCTTGTCCCACTTTCTTAGCCATTCAGCAAACTGTTCAAGATAATGCACTTGTTCATCATCATTAGACAATACAGGATTTGAAAATGAGTTCAGTGTCTTTTTACCTACAAATTTACTTTTCACATTAACAATATGCCACCATCTAAGGATGGTTTCAATAAAATCTGCTGTTTTATTACTGCCTACTAGACGCAGAGCAGCAACACTGTATTTATTAAAAATTGCCAAAGCAAGAGGAACATTCTGTCTGTCCATGCTGGAGGGATAGATGGCTTTGTGGGAAAGTTTAGGTGCCAGTTTTGCAATATTCTTTTGCTCACTATAATACAGTTTCTTTAAATGAGAAAAGTTAGCTTCTGCAGCTCTATCAGTATCACAGGCGTTTAGCATTTGTCCAGTTGTTAAAGGATAAGTAAATGTCTGGTTTGTGTCCTTCTGGTTGATCCAGTTCCTCCATATGCATTTTAGCAAGTGCACAGAATCATGCAGTAAAAATATTTTTTTATTAGCAAAATCTGGGTTCTCAATAAAAGTTTGGCTTGGTTTCAGGAGATCACTGTAAACTCTGCGATTGACAGCACTATTATCTGCAATTACAGCAACTACTGTGAAACCACACTCCTGTACAAAATGGATACAGTGGAGTAATTTCAAACGTAGATCCTGAGATGTCATTCTGTTCACAGGTGAAAGTTCTATAATTTCCTGGTAGCTTCCAAAAACTGAAGATATGAGGAAAGCCTGCACTGTTGTTGCTGCTTCTTTTGCATTGTCTGCATTGCCAAATAGTTTGCCCCCAGAGTAGGTAATTGCAGATTTAACATATATTGCATCCATCTAAACCACTACAATCCTTTCTAGCTCTGTCAGTTTGTCTTTGTTCAATTTCAAGTACTGTGAAATGCTGCCAGTATGAGTAGACAATGACAACTGTGAAGTTAAACTGTGCAGTGTTCTTTGATGAGGCAGGCACAACATACGAGATTTTCTTATAAATCGGTAGCATGCTGGAGATTTAATGAACATCATGAAAGCGAAACATAATGTGCTACAACTGTAACGACTTCTGTTTTTTTTTTTTTTTAACACTGTTAAAAGTTGCAGCTGCTCTGCAAGAAAGTTTACTTGTGTGTCAGTTACTTCATCAGCTGTCCCATTAGGAGTCCACTGTTGCTCTGCAGCACTCTTCAAAATACTTCCTGCTTCTTCCACTAAATCTGTGAAGCTATTTTGGCTTTGAATTTTACTAAAATCCCAGGCATTGTAATGAATTACAAGATTTTCAAGCTGTGACCATCTCACAAGTTTATTGTTGTCTACAATCCATTTAAGGTCTTTGTCTTTAACTTTTTTATTTTGAACAAAGACTTGTATAGTCATATCAAGTAACAACTTTATGCTGACACCTATTTTCGAAGGCGTCGGCCAAGCCAATCAAACACACACAATTCCCAACCTGCACAGTTCCAACCCTCAATCTTAAGATTCCCGCCCCTTCTTGTTCTACACATAGTTTGCAAAAGCTGGTTGGCAGTACAGCCGTTCCTGTAATTGTCTGAATATTTCGTTTTTTCTCTTTCTTTCAGATCTATAAAGGCAACCAAAGCTAGTGATTACACAGTACTTGTGGGCGTTACCAAACGATAGTAAGTCTTTTGTGAAAGTAAAATATTACGATATGTATGTGTTATAGTCAATTTCAAATGCTAGAGATCTGTTACATTCTTAGACGTCCCAGCGATCAAGAAATCTCACGTTGATGACATGGATTTTTATCCCCAGGTTGACGTTGGAAATTCACCAAAGACATGGAACAAAAAAAGCTAGATGCATTTGAAAACAAATGATAGTGGAAATTTAAGAATATAAAGTAAGGCGAGTTAAGGAAGGGTAAAGAAAGAAGAGACGTTGCTAGACAACCGATAATATCAACAGTTAAATGAACGAGAATATGGGATGAAGCAGGCAGGGAATCGCCAAGAATATACTGAAATGGAAAACAAACTGATTGAGGTAAACCCAAGAAGTTCTTGAGGTAAACTTCTGAGGCAGTCTCTTGAGCTTTTTTTTTTAATACGCTTCCTCAGTTTCTGCATTTGATTTTCTCAGTGTTTTTGTTATCCACCAAATAGAGCTGGATATTATTTTTTAAATGGCCTTTCTCTCCCATGTTGACCCAGCATTAATTTAGTACCAGGTAAAGTCCTTGGAAATAAAGGCGACCGATGTGATGGTGATCACATCACTAACCGAGTGCTAAAATACGGGTCTAGTCCTGCATGCCTAATGCGCCTAAAAGCGTGGAAAGAGGTCCTATATTTGAGTGATCAATTTCTGGATGTTGGGCTATGCAATGGGAAAATAAATTAAGGTGCGCAAAACTACAACAGAAAGGGCAATGTTTGCTTGTGTTTGCTGTGGCATCTTTGGGAGTATTACATTGTGAGGCTCAAGTTTCTTCCACAGTGCGACTGTCGTACAACAGACACAATATTTTTTTTTTTTACCGTATGAGACGAGAATCGACCCTAGTACTCGAAGAATACAAAGTTGTTAATCGCATTCACTAAAGTATCAGCCACATATCAGCACGACAGAAGGGTAGACACTATGTGTGTGACTGGAATCGACTAAATGTTATTCCCAAACACGAAACAACTGAAACACACTAAAGGGCAGTCAATGCTAGCAGAGGCCAAATCAGTGTTTAGTTCTTCAACGATGTTGCCTGAGTTGTGTTTGAGCAGATCCGTGTAGATAACCAGGAACCAACCGATCTGCTGGGAGGTTGAGTACAAAGCAACGGTTAATAGACCAGTGTATTTGTACTCAACGATTTAATCAGCTGTACCACTAGTGTGTCGGCATCTGTGGCTTTGGCGTTGCGAATGTGCTTCGTAATGCCGGAGGCTGGGTTCCATCCTAGCAGCGGACGATTTGTCTTCAATTGGTTTCGACAGTGGTACTGAGCGCTGACCGTTTAGACGCCGAAGAAGCTTAGCACAATGCACAGGCTCTGTAGCACCGGCGAGGATCCTGAAAGTGTAGATTTTTAACTCCAAATTTTGACCGGGCAGCGCCTTTGGGCTACTCTTTTACTTTTCGATTTCCAATGCACACGGGCGTCCGATCTCACTACCCAGAGACCACGGGGAATTACTAGAAGTCCAAGTCCACGTGACAAAATCCCAGCCCTTACCGGGGATTGAACCTGGAAACTCTAGCACTCGATCGGACACCATGCATCGAGACCACACAGCCCCCTGCGTATTGAGGCAACGGTCTGCGAAACACCGACTGTGTGTGTCACCTTGATGATTTCTTATCTGTGCAAGGATAGTTTTCCCTTATATTGTTTCTACAATGTGTCTATACCACAGACATCCTATTGTGTGGCTTATAGGTGTGTATGCTAACAACCGAATGCCTAATCAGAAATAACTAACTACTTCCCCAGCTCCGAGGACGAAGAGGAACCATCAATATTACCACTTTTGAGAGCGGGGTTTACACGGGTAAGTTAGTATTTATTAAAACGGAATCCGTTGTTTTGTTTTGTTTTTATTTTATTTTATTTTTTTTTAGCTGCCTTCTTCCTTCTCTTCGCTGTTCATCTGAAGATGAAACTGCGTTGTGCCTGTTTACATCATAGCTGTGATATTTGCGCCTTTCAACCGACACATCCGACTTCTGTAGGCATTGATTGACCATGTAAGTCTTTCCCGGGATTAGCTGCCTATCTTTTGCTCACATTGTGACCATCGGGTTTTGGGCACATAGGGCTAGACTTGTATTTTATAAACCAGTCGGCACTCAGTATTCCATGCGGCCAGCATTGCGCCGTCTGCCTTTACCCCGCAGGACTTTATTTGACCCCCAGGGTCAACCTAGGAGCCAAGATCATTTTTTGAAAGACTCCATTGTTTACGAGTTTTATTTTTTTTTTAAATTAGTTTAGAGTTTTTTTTTTTTTTTTAATAAGTTTACGAGTTTTATTTCTTTTAATAAGTTTAGAGTTTTGTTTATAAGTTTACGAGTTTAATCTGCCTCGATGAAAACTGCTTCATCTGTTTCTCTATTCCTACCTGATATTATCTGCATTTTCCTGGGAAATCACATCTTCTTCTTCTTCTTAAAGAAAGAAGAAGATATACCACTTCTACGGTGTAGGTAGGGGGGATCTTTTGAGCCTGGAAATTTAAGGAGTCATGGTTAGTGCTGTCGCCACGACTGTGCAGGTGAGGATTTTATTTTGCCCCCGACATTAAAAAATCCCCAGTCTTAACGAGGATTCGAACCTAGGTGTCCCGCATGAGAGCCCAGCGTTCTAACCGTTCGGCCAGCCGTTCCATATTAATGTCTATACTGCACTTAATAACCCCCTTTTTCGGCCAGTGACACAGTACAGTGTATTTACAACCAGAATGTCAATTTGGATTTAGCAGAGGCATTGAGACAGAGAGAACAAAAGAGAGTGCTAAAATGTTGAATAGAATCTGTTTTGCTGTATGGCAGCGAATCTTGGAATGTCAGTGGAAAATTTGGAAGCAACAAAGATGTTTTTGTATTTTTTTTTTTTTTTTTTTCTTCTGAGACGAATGTTATGAATACCTTGGACGGTCAGGGTAACTAACAACGATTTTTTTAAAGAAGCTAATGAAAGTAGATCTCTATATACAACAATAAGAAGGAGACTAAACACTTTTCTTTGGCTAATGAGAAGAGAGGCATTGGAAAACATCGTGACAACGGAAAGATCAGTGGGAAGAGGCGAAGACTCAGACCAAGCGACGTGATGCTGGATGGGCTTAAACGAGTACATAGGGGGATATCATCTAGAGAGCTGTTCCAGGCACCAGGGATCGTGATCTGTGTAGATGAGTGAGCACCTACGCCATGATGATGATGATGATAATAATGATTTAGAGGGGGGGGGGGAATAAAACAAGATCTTTCATTGACAGACAGCTGTTCAAGGTAATGTTACTGCAGGACAGGATTCATCAGGAGGTTTGATGTAGCCGCCAATTGTATCACAGAAGAAAAAAAATTCGATAAACCTGTTACCTAGTTAGCAGAAATGATAAAGTCTTCATCGTGCGACGCTATGCAAATTCCTATTGTGCTTGTCAAAACTCTCTGACTGGTTACGATTACTAAAGCCCTGCACTCTGCAGACTGCTAGAGAATTCACCGATGAAGTATAAATAATGCAGGCAGTAGTACAAAATAAATATGCGTGTTACTTAGAACAACACTAAGTGCAGCTCAGCTGATTCTATGGCTGTATGTAACGTATTCGTCTTCTCCCAAATCTCCCTCCTTCTCCTCCTCCTCCTCCTCCTTTTTAGTAAGCGATAATTATGAATAATCAGCTGTTATGAATACTTAAATTTGCTGCGATTTATCTTAAAATGGCGGTTGGCACGATGCATTGTTCATATTGGCGACTTTGTCAGTCATTGGCTGGCCGGTAGACGACTTCATCGCCGGTTGGGGCAGTATTTGGGTCTGTCTCCTTTGATCGCATCAACACTGCAAGAATCCTTTTCAGGGCCAATTGGTGGCGAGCAATGCTAAGCCATTTTATGTGGCGCAAAAAAACGTAATCACAATAAGCTCTCCTCTCATGAATGCTGGTTAAACGTAACGAATTTTTTTAAGCAACGCAGCAGAGGAACGGATGCCGGCGTCTGTGGCTTAGACGTTGCCAGTCCGACTCTTTATTTCAACGTACCGCGATCGAAACCAACTGCTGGCTGTGTGGATGTTTATCGCGGTAGGGGGCGTCGCAGGTCGACCTAGCCTAAAATGGGTACTAGGATGGTTGTTCTTTGGAAGTAAAGACGGCCTGCGTAATGCTAACCACATTACCCACCTAGTGCCGATGGTCTGAAAAAAATATGGGCGTTCTTCCCATATGCCCGACGCGCCTAAAGGCGGGACAAGGGATCTTTACTTGCTTACTTTACTAGAGGAATGGATGCATTGTGGTTGCAATAACTGAGCCTTTCAAATGGCCCAGCACAGTGGATTTCAGCAATAGGTAGTAGGTATATGCTTACACACAGACACACACATCCATACACATATGCACACTCTGTGTCCCAGCACCCACTTAGGGCAATCAAAGTTACTCTTCCATCTGTTTATTGTGCCTCAATATTCCAACATAGTTAGGGTGATCATAATATCCTGAGCTAAAAACGGTACATCCCACTAATATTTGGAGATGAAAATGGGACATCTCCAGCAAGTCAATTAAACACCCCACACATTCACGTTTCTTTTCCCAAGTTACCTGATAAACGGGATAATTATTTGCCCTTGTGCGAAAAAAAAATGAAATTAAAACGCAAACCATTGCTACCAAATGTTGGAAAAACGAAAAAAAAAATATTATCTTTAACTACAATGACAAAATATACTATAATGAAAATTCTCATCAACACATTTCAGGCATTAAAGTATCTAAAACGATGACATAAGGTCTAAAGATAAAAGTGTATGTTCTATTCTTGAGCTTATCCTAGATGTTTATAAAAACAGACATTTGAGCATTTTTTTTTTTTGGGGGGGGGGGAGGAGGGAGTACCCTCGAGACGACCGAAGCACACCTTACCATGGGGCCTCTAAACAAGGGGCTGTCCCAAGGAAAACGGGACTTTTGGTCACCCTAAATGGGGCGGGTAAATTCGCTTTACTCTAGCGACTGCACTATGTGCAATTTACAGAGGGAATAACAAACAGTAAATCGTCACAAAGGTTTATATTACCCCCAGCCTTGCTGGTTAAATGAGAGGATTTGGGGTTTGCCCACATCTTATTCCCTACTGTTAATAAACTTGTATATTTAAATGTATTTAAGTTCACTGACAAATAATTACAGTTAAAATAACTCCATAACACTGGAAGATACATTAACAACTGTACATTTATTTGGGAAATTCTAGCTAATATTTAAATTGGCTGTGGAGATAAAATCCTGGTATATAAGGTTAGTAGACAAATCTGTCCACTTAGCTGTAGCTTAGGTTTCTGTGGTCAGTTTCTGGCTAAGCCTCAGAGACACATCAGGCAGGCCGAATCTTCCAGTCCAGTCCAGACAATCGGGCATCTGCAGCTAAGCTTGGATTTACTTTTGGAACTCCCACCTGGAACTATCATCTGGAACTACCATCTGAAACTAGAACAATAGAACAGTCCCCATATAAACAGTTTGGAAAGTTCTCACTGGAGACAACAGTGTCTCCAGTTCTCATATAATGTTATACTACACACATATATATGGAGTAGGATAATCAAGTATTTACATTCTCTACTGGTACAGAATGTGAATGTATACAGAACAGGGTCCATAATCCTGATGGGAAAATATTTAGGAAACATCAGTTTCTGAATACTCTCAAGCACAAGAGTTTACATTACACAATAAGAAAGGACATTCATCAGTGTAAATTGTTCTGATGTCTGTACACTAGTACTCCTTTGAAAGGTTAACATGCTTACACACACAGGCATACACAGTCATATTTCACAATATTCTCATTTAACCACATGGTTCACATCCCAAAGAATGAGAATCAGGGAGTGTCTACATGGCCAGAAACTCATAACAGGTGCTTTGCACTGTTTGAAAACAAATAGGATTGACACATCTCCATCAATATAACTGGGTGCTGGGATAGATGTCATAATACAATCATAGATGACAATGGGCTTTCCATCTGTCACAGTATTAACATAAAATACACAACACTCACCCCAGTTTAAATCTAAATCCACACATGTGTTAAATCTTATTCAGTAGAGTTTGGAAGTTGAAAAGGGTGAAATATAATTATTACAATTGTAAGACCACCTGCTGTAGAACTGAAATATCTTCCTAGTAATGGGGGAAAATAAATACAACAATAATAATTACAAACATGGGCCATACATCTCTTGTCTTCTTCTCTGACAGTGTGAATATTAAATTCAGCCTCACTGTGTTATTCACTTTTCAAGCTCTTAAACCAGTCTCAGAATTATCTGGACTAAATCTAAATTAAGGCCATACAGTGATTTATCAAGCTAATATCCCCATGAGGTGAAATCAACTTAGTAGGGATTAGGTTTAATGAATATACACTTCATTCCTTTTTTAATTGTCTCACTATGCTGGAAACCGGAACTGGCCGACATTTTACATGAGGACATAATTCTCACCTAATTAATATAATTATAATTATTAAAAATACCAATGCACGTTTCTAGTATCAAATAAACATTATTTCAATCATCAAATAGATCATATGTTTGCATACATGTACATACTAGATCATAAACGTTATTAGTAAGGATACGGGAATTTATCATGGTTTCTAAGCCATGTGGGCATCAAATTTCAGAGTTCAGCAGATAAAATTAATTCAGATGAATAGTAGCAATAGATCAAATGAAACTTATTTTATTAACTCACCCCTGGTAGGGAATTCAAACACAGGCAACAAGACTACATAACTTTAGTCTGAACTGCGTCAATTGAGGAGAGCAAAATCTTGACTCCCCCAATCTTGTCTGGTATGAAAATGAAAGTAGGAGGTCCTAGGAAGGGAGAAGTAACTCTTGAGTTACCCCTGGCACTACTCATCATCTCATTTCGAATTTTAACTTCCTAATTTATTAAGTATTATTAAGGCTAATAGAAAGCAATAAAGAAATGTTTACAAATTTGATAATAATATTACTAGTACACAGCAATACTTAAAAGGGCAGAAACCAGCTGTCCAGACCAGCTCGTCACACTAAACATAGTTTACTGTTTTCCTCTGTGAAGGATCTGTGAATGCATTCTTTACCCTGTCCTGTGGTCTTGTAAGCTAGAAGGTCTTTCAAACTACCTTTCCGTCTGGATTTTTAGATGGGCCTGCGTACCCAATTTGTAACCCCTTGAAAGTAAAGTTTATTCTTTCTACTTCTTGTTGTACAATGCTGAATATGTGTCTGTGTGTGTGTGTGTGCGTGCGCGCGCTCTCGCGTGTGTGTGTGTGTGTGTGTGTGTGTCTCCCCCCCCCCCCCCCCCTCCCTCTAATGAAAATGTTTTGTTTTTGTTTTTCGAGAAGGACAATTATTTCAGAATCATGATGTGTCATTTTTCTAATTAAATTGTGTCATTTTATTTTTAATGTCATACTGAATTTAATCTCAGATAAACAAAAATATATTTTACTCTTAACCCACATTTATGAGATACGCGATATTTTGTGACATGATTTGGAGAACGAATTTTTCATCTGTAAATAATATATAATATCACGACCTTAACATGAGACGTTCATTCAGTTGCATTAAATAGTACTTTTAGAAAATGAGTGACAACAGCTGAAATATAACCAGAATTCAGACATTGTCTGAGTGCAGGAGATGCAGCTGAAAGTTATTTTTCTATTCTACTTTGTCCTCTTTTCGCTTCTTTCCTTTTTACCTCTTGAAATAATTAGACGGAAGAAAAAATATACAGAATTACTTGTGCTGTCTCGTGTTTCGCCTCTTTAACAACGTCATATAAATGAAATATCAGAACATTCTGGAACCTTCGAGGTCATTTCAAGTAATAAGAGTAATATTGTTTGCACAATCATCCGGTCTCACAGAAAATTGGAAAAACAAAAACGTGATTTAAAAGAATGCATGCATTCTGGCAGCCCAAATCAAAGCATCACATGTCATGAATTATTTTTTGAGTATACTAATGCACCGAGTGATTTGCTGCATGGTATAGAAATCTGAGTCGGCTCTGTGGCTAAGTTGATGCGAACGCTTCGTAATGCCAGGATGCCGGGTTCGATCCCAGCTGCGGACCATGCGCCTTGCGTTGATTTTGACAAGAAAGTCGACCGTCCAGATGGCAATGACAAACTACTGGAAGTAAATTTGCCTAGAAAAACCACACAAAAGCCAGGGGCTTTTGGGGTTGGGTCTGCAGCGTCCTGTAAAGGATACGCAACTAACTTTATAGAAATCTTAACCATTATTTTAAAGTATAACCATTGCATGGTATTATCAATTATTGTAGGAAAGAGAGTTTTAAAGTATTGTATGGTTAAGCTGAGTTGTTGGGCTGAGCTAAAAACTGACATCACAACACTCAGGAAATTTCCATTTGCGTTCAATCCTCATCTTCAGCAGCCAACAAAAAATTCCAATTCTATCAGTACCAGTTTGACTATATGTCTGCTTTGCCTTTGTTGTTAATCAGATTCACAAAGTCGCATTTTCTCCAGATCATAATGAGCTATTCGTGACTCTGCATTGTTCACTTGCTCCCAAAAGGCCTTCACTGCATCCAGCTTGACAAAATTACCACCCATCAGCTAATCTGCCTACCTGTTCACTTCCCAACACCCAAGAATACCACGGAGAAAATATCCGTAAAACGCTAAGTGCACGGAATCTCCGCGAGTCGCTTACAATCACGATATGTGTGTGCGGCTGGTTCTCACGCCAGTAGAAAGCTACTGTGACTGCCTTCACCTCTTTAAAAAGTACTATTTAAAATCTGTGTTATAATATGCACCTGAGTCATGAACAACAAGCAGTCAGGCTGAAAAGTACCTGTTCGCATCAGAGATGTGGCTTTTGAGAAAGAATGCAAAGAATACAATGAAATTATGGAAAAACAAACGAGACAGTACTCGGTTATAGAAATTAGACATAGTTTTTTTTTTTTTTTTTCACTCGGGAACTTGGTTACGAATTGCAACATTGACGAATAAATACCTAGATGGCTTAGCCATGTGAATGCTGCGAGATAAGCGCACTGACTTGATTCCATTGGTGATCCGGTGGGATAGTGATACGTGACCACCTAAGCTTATCGGCAGGATACTGTGTAATTATCGTATTTTATATATTGTATAATTTTATATATTATGCTGTAGGCTGTCTCTGTGGAATTGGGGCACGTATGCATTGTTCACTGTGTTTATTAGTGTGGCATAAACTATAGTTTATATATCTCATTTTGAGCCCCGTTGGCCAGGACGTTTCGGGGTGACCCAGTGTAGCCTTCATGGCTACCGTAGCGGTCCCGTGGCACGAGGTCACACCATACTTCGCCCACACCTAGCAATCCCCTACTTTGTCCTGTTACCACCTCTCACGACTAGGACGTGGGGTTGGTCTTTGAGAGGCACTGAAAAGACAGAAGTAATGTCAATAGGAAAAAAGAAGACAGATCTAAACTTAACAATAGAATACAAAGGCATTAAACAGGCATCTGAGTTTAAATATCTGGGAACTACATTTACCGAAGATGGGAAATTGGATAAAGAAATTGACATTAGATGCAGTAAAGCAAACCAAGTATTGGGACAGCTAGCCCCCCTCTTACAGCATAAGACAATCCCAATCAGCACAAAGAGACATCTTATTCAAAGCATATTTATTCCAACTCTGTGCTACCAGTGCCAGACATGGTCACTCACAACAAACCATAAAAGAAAATTAGTAACCACGGAAATGAGATGTCTGAGAAGGGCTGTAGGAGTGACCATAAGAGATAAGATCAGAAATGAGATCATAAGAGAACAAGTCGGCACAGAACCAATTCTGGATTACATACAAAGACAGCAAATGAAATGGTTTGCCCACTTAGAGAGAATGCCTTGTGACACCATACCATACAAAGCATACATGGGAAGAGAAGAAGGACCTAGAGCACGGGGTAGACCAAGAACAAGATGGAAGGATAACATCAGAGAAACTCTACAACAGCACGATGTGCCTATGGTCGAGGCAGCCAGAAGAGCTAGAAACAGAACCTTATATCTCCCTCGACACCCACAGCGGTAAAAGAGGAAGTAAAGAAGAAGAAGAAGAAGAAGAAGATAAACTATAGTTTCAGAAAAAGAGTTCCCCGTATGAGTTCCGCGGCCCTACTTTGAAAAAAGAAAGGGGGTGGGGGTTAACATGTCTCCCTATCAAGCATGAAACAAAGGCTATTAATTAGGGGCACCCATCCCCTCCCCCTCACTATCCCATCGAAGTCGGAGCGCATCTGCTTGAGAGGCAAAGAACCTGTAATCTGCATACAGATAAACAGACGAGTCAAAGGATGTACACGCAAAATTCAAGTCCTGTAACAAGACTTAAAGGCCCGAAGTAGAAGAACAAGCAGAACCTCCCGCCAGTGTTTGCAGCCGGTAAATTCTAAGAAGAAGAAGAAAAAGAAGAAGAAGAAGAAGAAGAAGAAGAAGAAGAAGAAGAAGAAGAAGAAGAAGAAGAAGAAGAAGAAGATGTAGTAGTAGCAGTAGTAGTAGTAGTAGTAGTAGTAGTAGTAGTAGTAGTAGTAGTAGTAGTAGTAGTAGTAGTAGTAGTAGAAGTAGTAGTAGTAGTAGTAGTAGTAGTAGTAGTAGTAGTAGTAGTAGTAGTAGTAGTAGTATAGTAGTAGTAGTAGTAGTAGTAGTAGTAATGATGGTGGTGGTAGTAGCTGTAGCAGCAGCAGCAGTAATGGCAGTAGTAGCAGCAGCAGCAGTAGTAGTAGCAGCAGCAGTAGCAGCAGCAGCAGTAGTAGCAGCAGCAGTAGTAGCAGCAGTAGTAGTAGCAGCAGCAGTAGCAGCAGCAGCAGTAGTAGTAGCAGCAGCAGTAGTAGTAGCAGCAGCAGTAGTAGTAGTAGCAGCAGTAGTAGTAGTAGTAGCAGCAGCAGTAGTAGTAGCAGCAGCAGCAGTAGTAGCAGCAGCAGCAGTAGTAGTAGCAGCAGCAGTAGCAGCAGCAGCAGTAGTAGTAGAAGAAAAGTTGTTGTGTTGTTTTCCTGCTGCTGCTGTGGTGGTGGTAGCTGATATTTCGTCTTGGGGAGCGGGGTGCTCTACAGTATGTAGCATGTTCCTGAAATGTAACCTAACCACGTTCGTATTTTTCAGAGAACCCAAGAAAACAGTAGTTTGTCTTCATGCATCAATGAACTTCAGACACTTGAGTACGGGGAGGTGCGCTACAATCTCAAACTGAAAGCCTGTACTGGTCTTTTCACGGCGTTGGAACACGTCTCAGAAGCTGTGGAGATCACAAACAGCGAGCATGAAATACAGGTTGGTGTTTTTTTTCTACTGCCGGCTTTGATCTGTCGGGTCTTGGTCAGATATGACTGAGCTACCGTATAACAGTAGTCGGCACTACCTGTCTTCTGTTAGCGCCGAATGTTAGGTGGCATACATCAAACCTGGCATCCCACATTGTGCCAACGGCTTCCTGCGGAGGAGCGCACTGGGGAGGATAGGAGAATTATCCTAGGAAGAGGAAATCCAGCATTAAAACATAGTGTTATGGCAGAACTGAGCAGGCCCTTGGCTTTGGTTGGAAGCTGATTTAGGAGGAAAGCTCTTACAGGTGGAAAGATGGAATACTGCTATTCTTACGTGACAGCTTCTGCAGCATGTTTTGTTCAGAAAGTACTGGTGTTATATTTCCTTTGGAGTAAACAATGCAGGTCGAGTGAGGGATCATGATGCATGGACAACATATTATCTCTACAATGCTGCCATATAGAGAGGGGGAACTTCCTTATCTTAACGCGGCAGGGTCTTGCTAGTCAGACTTACCATCACAATAGGCTGTGAGTCCCATGCCTCCTCATGGCAGCACATTGTAACACTATCGACACGAAAGACGGAAAGGTGCTAACAGCAGCAGGAATGAAGGTTCCATATTTGTCCATTTCTTCTTCTTCTTCTTCTTCTTCTTCTTCTTCTTCTTCTTCTTCTTCTTCTTCTTCTTCTTCTTCTTCTTTTTTTTTTCTTTCTTCTTCGTCTTCTTCTTCTTCTTTTTTTCTTCTTCTTATTTTTATTCAAAGGAAGAAGAAGAACAATACCAAAAAAAAAAGCAAGAACAAGAAGAGATATATGATGACATTGATGTTAATATAGGTGGTAATGATAATGATGACAGTAAGGTTGACTTTTTTCTTTAACCTGTAACAGTAGCGACCAGAGAAAGTGAAAAAAAGGGAAGACAATAACACTCGTGAAAACAGTACAATTTTTTTATGTAGCTTCCGTCACCTTGAAGTTCCCGCATCAGATAAACACAATAATGGTACAACTTAGTTTTACGCATCGTCAAAAATATTAAACTACTGTGGCTAAATTCAGTAGCCTCCATTCTAGTGCCCCACTTTCTGGAAGTAATCAGAACATCGATCAAAATAATGTCTGTCTCCGAAATGTACTTTTTTGGTACGAAAAAAAAAAAAGAAAGAAACTTCCAGAATGATTAGAAGAGGCTATTTTGAGAACCATGTACGTCACACAGCTACTTGCCAGGTAATGCGAATATTAACTTCACAAAGAACGCTTTTAGATTTAGTTTATAGTGTTTCCTTGTACAAGACCATTAAACGACTTTAACCTGTAGGATGGATTCAGGTTTTGACTAGATCTACCTTTTTCCTTTAGACGTAATCTTTATGTTTTGACGAGTCATAGACTTGATGCGTAGAATATATTCTTTATACTTTGACTGGTTCGAACCTTTAATCTTGAAAATGGATTCACCATGATTTATCTAGCTGGCCACTTTGACCTTATAATATGCATTGGCTAGTTCGCGACCGTAGCCTGTAGAATGGATCCCTTTTGCTTTGATTAGTTAACGACTTAAGAAACGTGTTGACAAGATTCTTTCTGCTCTGATAAATTAGTGACTGTAACTTGCAGAATGGTGTGAACAGGGCCTCTGCTCCTAATATGTCATGAAAGTCGACTAATTAGGGCTGTTTCCTTCTAAGTTGCAGTGCCTCTGCTTGAGAGGTGAGAAACCAAAAATCTGCATTCAAAAAACCTCTGTAAAACGGAAGAGCACACAACACTCAAATTCTGGAGCAAAACCAAAGTCAAGAAGTGGACGAACAACCAGAATTTTCTGCCGGAATTTACAGTCGGTGAACAACAAAAAGAAAAATAAGAAGAAGAAGAAAAGGAAGAAGAAGAAGGAGGAGGAGGAGGAGAAGAAGAAGAAGAAGAAGAAGAAGAAGAAGAAGAAGAAGAAGAAGGAGGAGGAGGAGGAGGAGGAGGAGGAGGAGGAGAGGAGGAGGAGGAAGCGAAGGAGATGATTAAGAACATCATCATTATTATCAAGTGCTTTACCGCCATAGCTATGAAGTATGTGCCGTGTGCGACGCTTACGGCAGGCGTTCCACCAAGAGACCGACCGAGTTCTGTGGGATAAAATCCGGTGCAATAAAGTCGATCCACTTGACTTTAACTTTAAGTTTATTTCACAAAGAATTTGTTATTTTTTTTAAATCTATTGTGTTACAAATCGACTGGAAATACGATGTCCCGTTCCATTGTCGTTGATTCGAGTCTTCTTAGTCAAATAGTGAAAGAAATTGGAAAGTATAAAGTATATGTCGGCTTTACAACATTCATTACAATATAGAAGCAAAGGACATTGTAGCGACAAGTTTTCATCAGCAAACAAACCTCAAACGAAAGACAACATTACCCAAAATGAGTGAATAACCCTAAAATTACTACTTTACAGTATGCAAATATTATGTAAAAAAGGAAACAATAAAGGAGTAAAATAGAACGGTGAAAATTGTCCTGGATGTTCGAAATTGTTTTCTCCCCCTCGCCTCTCTGTCTGTATCTTTCCCTCTCGCACACACATACTATCTGTCTGTCTATCTATCTATCTATCTATCTATCTATCTATCTAATCTATCTATCTATCTATCTATCTATCTATCTATCTATCTATCTATCTATCTATCTATCTATCTATCTATCTATCTATCTATCTATCTATCTATCTATCTATCTATCTATCTATCTATCTATCTATCTATCTATCTATCTATCTATCTATCTATGTATCTATCTATCTGTCTGTCTATCTATCTGTCTATCTATCTATCTATCTGTCTGTCTGTCTGTCTGTCTGTCTGTCTGTCTGTCTGTCTGTCTGTCTGTCTGTCTGTCTGTCTGTCTGTCTGTCTGTCTGTCTGTCTGTCTGTCTGTCTGTCTGTCTGTCTGTCTGTCTGTCTGTCTGTCTGTCTGTCTGTCTGTCTGTCTGTCTGTCTGTCTGTCTGTCTGTCTGTCTGTCTGTCTGTCTGTCTGTCTGTCTGTCTGTCTGTCTGTCTGTCTGTCTGTCTGTCTGTCTGTCTGTCTGTCTGTCTGTCTGTCTGTCTGTCTGTCTGTCTGTCTGTCTGTCTGTCTGTCTGTCTGTCTGTCTGTCTGTCTGTCCGTCCGTCACTTGTGCCACCCAAAAAAGAGCAAGAAAAATACACAAAACCATAACAATGGGTTACAACCTGGTATCAGTGAGATGACAACAGAAGAAGAATACAACCCAAGATTATGTTTCTATGCAGGCATAATATTCACATGCTCACAGGTGCTTGAACCTAGGAGCATAAATCTCTTAAGGACCACCCCCCCCCCCCCCCACCTCCCCCCCCCCCCCCCAATCCATAATTGAGTAGATGAACTTAAAGGACTTTTAACTATTAATAGATCTTTAAACGCATTTGTTGGATACATTCCGTATAATTTCAAGTATATTATTATCAGCGATGGTCATGATGAGGATGACGATGATGATGATGACCACAATGATAATAATGATGATAATGATAATGATGATGATCACGATGGTGATGATGATAATCATGGAGAAGATAATCATGGAGATGATGATGATCATGTTGATTATGGTGATGATGATGATCATGGTGATGGTGATGATGATGATTATGGTGATGATGATGATCATGGTGATGGTGATGATGATGATTATGGTGATGATGATGATCATGGTGATGGTGATGATGATGATTATGGTGATGATCATGGTGAATATTGCAATAAGGTCGACCCAGTCTAAAATCTATCTGAGATGATGATGATCATGGGGATGATGATCATGGGGATGATGATCATGGGGATGATGATCATGGGGATGATGATCATAGGGATGATGATCATGGGGATGATGATCATGGGGATGATGATCATAGGGATGATGATCATAGGGATAATGATCATGGGGATGATGATCATGGGGATGATGATCATGGGGATGATGATCATGGGGATGATGATCACGGGGATGATGATGATCATGGGGAT